GCTAAATACTGGATGATGGATTGGGAATTCATTGAATATCAAGGACCCAAAGTACATCACTTTGTTGATGCCCCACGTCCATTTGTTTGATGAGTTGAAGGTTTTATAAGTTAGCTCTGAAATAGTTATACAACTATTCTGCATTTTTAACTTGCATTATTTGGAATACGAAAGAAACGACACAACTGAGAAAATGCATAAAATTAATTATTCTTACCTCCTCCTTCACCACACAGAACTCGTATTCCTACGTGGAACCACGCAGAATGAAGCCAATAATGCACATGATTGAAGCTTTAATGGTGACTTAATGCAATGGGTTCTTCTCAGACAATCATCTGTGCCATTGTGGAATGAATTTCAATTTTGAAGACTGTCTATGCCTCCACGATCAGGGACCAATCCTTTGACGAGACCCGACTGTATATACACATAATGAACAGCAGTGTCAGTCACTACATCATGCCCTAATGATGGAGGCACAGTCTCTCCAAAACAATAAAAATTAATTCTATATTGGCATGGCTGGTTGTCCAAGAAGACTGCATTTTAATTATATATACTTAAGTGGTGCAGTTTTGATGAATAAAAGATGTTTTCACTTTGCTTTTAATAAACACTCAACTAAAAAAACAAAATGCGTCCTATACATGAAAGTTACGTGAATATTACTATTATAAAAAAAAATTTGTACTTACAATTGTCAAGTGTTTTTCTTTTGTTCAAACCCTGGTTATGCATTCTCATCATCAAAGAACAATAACATATATACATAATGTTTTGTCAAAATGTTTAATGGTGCTACCAGTTTCATCCAAAATTTGACTTCTAGATGTTACATGTTTCTAATTAATTACTTTTTTTCATGGTTGGAGGTTAATCCTTTTTAGTTTGGTCTACTTGTGAACATAAGATTATACTCGCAGGGTACTGATCCCCATGTTGAAGCCTGAATGACATATCTCATGTCTACATATACATATTCTGTCAGTATAAATTAAAGTAAGATGAATGTGATTTTAGCACAATAAAGTCAGAGCATACATACAAGGTTAACCTACTACCATTTTAAGAATAAATCTATCTATATACATCAGGTTGTCAGCAAGACTGAAGACGTAACTACCAAACACCTTCCTACTAAGCACAACTTAAAATTATGCAAAATAATAACACCCAGAAGCCAAGACACCTGTCGCCTCATCTCTCTTACCATGAACAGGAGTGCCAACATCCAATTACTTATTCCCAGATGAAACCGCAACAGGTGACTCAACAACTTTTAATTTTCACTTATAGAATAATTCACTGAGTGAAACAATATAAAATATAATTATCATTATTAGCTCTTACTAAAAATTTCATAAAAAAAAAAGAAAATTCTCTCTCTTAATTCTTATATTTAAGCATCAATGTAAATATTTTGTTACTGTAAAACTAAAATTAGATAGTTTGTTTCAGTATGAAACTGTCAATAAGTTCACATTACAAAGAGTATTAACTTCATGATTATATGACTAATATACAAAAAAAAAAATAATGATCACTTTTCTTACTCAGTGCTCTGAGCCTCAAGTTTATCTAATGCATCTTCCAACGAATATAAACAGTCCTTGGTTTTCCTAAAGTCCTCTTTGCAAATGTTAAGAGGATCCATCGACACATGTTTATGCTCGTTGCTTGACAACAGGTCAGCGGCTGAATTCAAATTGCTTTCAGAGAAATCACTATCCTCCACACTTAAAATTTCATTACTCACTATTTCCGCCATCATGTCATTTCCCAGGCCAATCTCGGTAGGTTCGTTCCCATTAAATTTGTCTATGTTTCCCATAACACCTGTTGGCAATTCCTGCAAAACGTCCGCACAAGCCGGTGAGTCTTGAATGATATAGTTACCTATGGTTTCAGCACAAAATTTAGATTCGACAGAACTGCGTCTACTAGTTACTGTCGTGCCTTGCTCTTGCTGCTCCATCAGTGATGCTTCGGAAGAGTGGCTTGGAAATTCCAATTCGCTTAACCGTTCTTCGTGTTTTGGCGTGGAATCTGGAAGTTTTGCCATTTCAACATCTAGACAGTTTTCTCTCTTTATTAAATAAGCAGCCATTTCATCCTCTAATCTAAAATCAATTTCTGCATCACACAGAGATTGACCATTTATGCAATTTCTTCTCTCTAGATCATTTGTTTCTATATTATATTGATCTCCGAGATAACAAGAATTATTTCCCAAAGGGTTGTTAACATCTTGAGTTTCTACTTCCATGTCTGAAGAGCCTTGAAGATCATCCATCTCCGTTTGCTCAAGCTGTTCAAAATCCTCTATGAGCAAATTGGCATCATTCTCAAAATTAGGTGTACGTCTGTCCAAACTAATAGGGTTTGTTTCCCTGAGAGTTCCTTCCTGTATTTCATTGGCTTCACCTCTAAATTCATTCTGATTAAGTTCCGAATCTTCAACACTCGTATTATCAGATGTTTCCACGCTGTCTCTATTTGTCTGATATCTGTTATTAAAGTTATTATTTATAGAAGCATTTTTCGAAGATTCTACACCAGTAGTTTTATCCAAAGGCTGAGAGTATATATCATGTTTTAGTTCGTCACACTCTTCTGGGATCCTCGAATGGGGCTCGTTACTGTGATTCTCCTCAAGTTCCAAACTTTCAATTTCCTTTGGTGACTGTTCGGTATCAAAAGATTGTTGACTGTCTACTGGTGAAACGACTGAATTAGCTTTTGAATTTTCCTTCCATTTTTTCAGCAGTTGTATGCTAGCCTGAAGGCTGCGAGGCTGCGTCCTTTTAGGGTGGCAGATACGAACGTGTTTGGTAAGGTTTATGTACGATGTAAATGTCTTCTTTTTGCAATGGCTACAAGCAAAGTGTTTATTATGGGAGACTTCCAAATGTGTAGACAAGAGAGCTGATGTAAAAAACTTAGTATGACAGATGGTACAAGGATATCTGTCCTTAGATGCCGTCATTCCACGAGATTCACCGGTACTGAAACCCGCACAGTCTTCGCTGTCACTGGCAGATGAACGCGAGATTCGCCGGTACTGAAACCCGCGCAGTCTTCGCTGTCACTGGCAGATGAACGTCGCGCATTTGAAACTGAAGACGCAGGCACAGATTTATGGCTTGCAGAATGGGCAATTAAACTCTTCTCTGTCACAAAAGCTAGAGCACAAATGTCACAGACATATAAATTTTGCTTTTCAACCTTTGGTACTGGTAACCTCATGTCATGCGACAACATATTCTTGCTTTTGGGAGGTACATCGTGGGTTTGTTTATGTTCACAGAAAAGCGATTCATTTTTGAAAACCTTAAGGCAGATGTCACAGCTATAGAATTGTTCACTCTTAAAGTCTAGATTAGTGGTTACATTGTGTTCCATTTCTTCTGTTTCCATTTCAAACAATTCTTCATTTCTGGTGAAGAGTTCGCCTGCATTCATTCTGTGACTCTTGCGGTGTGTCACGAGGGCACCTACATTACCACAAACTTTGTGACACATATCACACTTAAGTTCTAACTTCTCACCCTGCGGCTGTGAATTAGGAACATCGATAGATTTATGTGTTTTCTGATGATCACGGAGGTTTTGTTCATTGGTGAAAGATCTAAAACACGTTTGACAATTGTGAAGATTTGATTGTGGCTGATTCTCTGGTTCTGTACCCAGGACAATATGTATAGTCGCATGCTGGATGAGTTTAGATCGGGCATTGTGATAACGCCCACATATGCGGCACGTGAAATTGTTTCCGTCGCCACAAAAATTGTCAGGGTGCTGTGAACTCAGATGAGATGCAAGGCTGTGATAGTCAGAACAGACATTGAGGCACACACCGCAAGTTACTGCAGCCTCCTGTTGATGGTTACGAATGAGATGTTGCCAAAGGTGTTTAAGGGCTGGCCACTCCTTTCCACAGAGCTGACAGTAACAAGGAGACTTAGAATCAGAGCCATTGCTGTAAACTTTACGGACTTCTGATCTTCGACGATTCAATTTTACACTGCAAGATGTATCGCTGGTCTGACCACATGAAACTGTGTGCTTGCTGTTATACTCATTCTCAGATTTTGATGACAAATCGCCTCCTTCATTATCTTGCTTCTTATCTTTGTTATCACTTTCCTTCCCAGGAGTACTGGCGCTAGAAACGTAATTATGTTCGGGCTCTTCTTTTATAAGATTACTTTGCAGAGAGGATTCCGGTATATAAACAAAAGGTAATTCAGAATCAAACTCTGTCTGGCTTTGTGGTTTTGCACTGGAAGCATCTCCTGAACTTCCAAGGAAATTCAAAGCATGCAACTGGTGACTTCCAGTCACGAGATTCTTTTGTGATAACACTGTTCCTGCGATGAATTTCTGTTGCATTCGTTTAGCCTGGTGAGCAGGAGAGTTAATGTGCTTCCAGTAAGATGATTTATTAGTAAAATGTTTGCAACACTGGTCACAGTGATAAGGTTTCACGTCTAATGCCGACGAAGCGTGCTTCGTCTTTTTGTGCTCCGCGAGATCTGACGGCGAACAGAAAGTCACGGTGCATTTTTCGCAATTATACGAACGCCTCGGTCTCTTAGCATCTTTGCTGAATTCTACATCATACTCTTGAATGTCTGACGACTCTTCTTCAGGGCCTGAATTTGAATTGAAATTTTCCACATCATTCTGATGTTTTGCTTCACTGCGTTTCATCGATTCAGCAGATGCTGGAAACGTTTCCATGCGAACCTCACTTGGCAACTCATCGTTCTTAATCCCATCTCCCTCCTCTAAACGATTTGTAATGTCCTCATTTCCTAACACTTCTGTCTCTTCCTTTCTTCCTCCTTCCTCTTCACCAGATATTTTTATCCCTTCGTTTCTTTCTCCGCCCTCTTCGCCATCGGCATCACAGGTTACACCCTTTCCATCTTCTTCAAGAGTATTCACATGTCCCTTTTCACTGTGCTCCTGTAATTCTGGCTTGCTTCTGAATACCTGGAGACAGTCCCTACAAGCATAATATTTTGGGTGACATTTCGTAAAATGATTCATAACTTTATACACACTGGAGTAACTCTTGGCACATATCTTACAGGTGTCTGGCGCTTTCAAGGCTGTTGGATGGAAGCTTTCTACGTGACAAATGAGTTCTTCAGTTGATGGAAAGTGTTTGAAACAAACACCACATATAAGAGGTATGGCAGCCTTGTGCTGTGCTGAGTTAAGATGATTCCATAATCTGACTTTGTCTGAACAAACTTCTCCACAGAGGTAGCATGTTGGAGGATATTTAACAGAATTATGTTGTAGATTATGCACATCAAGATCAAACTTTGACCTCATTATTCTTGAACAGCTTGAAATAGGGCAGAAGAAGTTGGGGTGACTGTCATGAGTTTCTTTGATGTGAGCAAAGAGATCTGCTTTAGATATGAAGGAGGTATCAGGACACAGTTCACAGTACTGTGGAACATGAGCTACTTTCTGGTGTTCCTTCAATCGTGATGGGGTCTGGAAAACCTTGGAGCATATATCACAGGTTAGATCCTGTGTGGAAGCGGAGGAATCAGAATTTAATTTTGAAAGTTTCAGTGGTTTAGGTTTAGTTGCACGCAAGCAATGCCGCTGGTGTTTTTTGAGCAGGTGGCTTTTCCAGAATCGTTTTGAGCATTTCTGACATGGATAAAGTGTCGGGATTTTCATAATTTTCCCAGCCGTGAAACACAGTCTAGAAGAAGGTAGTTTGATGGTAGGGTTTGGGTTCTTGGGATAATGTTTTGTAGAGATGTGACTTTCTAGATGAGCTTTGCTTGCTGAAATTCGTTTACAGACTGAACACGTCAATTCTGGGTGATTGTTATGAACTCTCTTGACATGCTTCCAGAGATCAGATGTCCTACCATAGAATTTTGAACACAGGTCACACGGATGAAGGGAGTGAATTCTGCGACGATGATCTGCCAACTGCGCCGTAGATTGAAATGCCATCTGAGGACAGATGTCACAAAACATCATTAATTCAGGTTTTGGAACTGTTTCTTTAACTCTGGGAGACAATCCTGGAATGCTACTGAGCTTTGAAAGGGCGCCTGTTTGAAATGAAATTGATTTACTACTAGGCTTTGTCACAGTGTTCATTAGTGGTACATACTTTTTGGATGTTCCTACCAAGGGAAGAGTGGGTATACTAACGGAAGTTCCGTGGCTACTGATTTCAGGAATGTTCATAGGCAAGGAATGTGGTCTTTTGAGAGGTGGGACTTGAGGAGCGTCATCATGCTCGTCTATCAAGTGTATTCTGCGATGCCTTGAAAGCTTTGATCTGTTAGAATATGGACGACCACAAATATCGCAACAGAAGTCCCCAGCAGTTAGTGGCAAATGGTTTGAATGGACATGAGCCTGAAGATCTGGAACAGTGCAAAAAATCTTCAGACATACACCACATGTCAATGGCACACAATCTGAGTGTACACCCATTAGGTGCTTCCAGAAATCCACACGTGTACCCCAAAGCTTCCCACATATCTCACAAACATTTGGTGTCGCTCCCTGTAGCTGATGATGATTAGTGCAATGTTCTTGTTTTAATGTACGCGTAGGAAACACTTTTCCACATCCTTGTTTATCGCACGTCAAAGCAGACTCGCCTCTATGAGACCGGAAAACGTGCCTCCATCTATCAGATTTGCTACTGTACGAGCTTCCGCACAGTTCACAGACAAAGTAAAGTTGGTATGAGCCTCTGATACTGCTTAGAGTACCTGCATCCAAATTGCAATTAACTTTATGAGCACCTTTCTTGTGCTTCACCAATCCATCCTCTGTCGGGAATGACTTGTAACATAACTCACAGCCGAATGAAGAAGTTTCCTTAGTGAGTTTTACATTTGTGTATTTGCCACCACTATACTCCAACAGAATTTCCTGTTCTGAGGAAGGTCTGTATTCATTCAACACTGAATTTTCATCATGATTCTCAAATTTATAAAACCCAGTGTTCAATGTAACAAGCATTTCAGGATCATAAACTCCTCCAGCGCCATTGTCAAGGTTATGAACAGACACGTGCGCAAGCAACTTCTTCCGGTAATCATGCTGTCTACCGCACATCTGACAACAATAACGGCGTTGATCTGTCGAATTTTGATCAGGAGGGTGCGAGGTTCTCCAGTGTTGGTAAAGCTGAGTATTATTCTCACATATCTGAAGACAAATGCCACACGCGTACGCCGCGCACTCCTTATGCGTGTATCGAAGGTGGAGCCAGAGACTAGCGCGGTCACCAAATTCCCTTGTACACACCTCACACATGAAGCTAGACTGTGATTCGGATGGCTTCTCAGGCAGCAATGTATCATCATCCTCATCTAACTCTGCTACCTCTTTATCCACACTGCTCCGACTGCTAGACCTCTGGAAACCAAGTTTTTGTTGGCCATCAAATTTCCTGGATGTGGACTGACCACTTTCAGTTATGGCCAAAGTGGAAGTATCCTGTTTCTTCTGAGGTATTCGTTGGTACTTTGAAATGTCCATGACCTCTGAAGGATCTATCCCGTGGCAGGCATTAAAATGTCGGCTAAGAGACGTGCGCAGGGAGAAATCTTTCTCGCAAAGGAGACATGTAAATGGTTTCGTGTTACTCACATTTTCTGCTTCGGTATGCTCTTCAATGTCATGGGTGCTTCTATGCCCTTGCAGTTCTGATAACGTATGAAAAATTTGAGAACAATTATCACAGGCATAAGTATTCAGATCCCTCCCATCCTGATCAAAGTCCTCGTTGTCTTCCTCGTTCCTCGCTATCTTTCTTGGTTTTGAACTCTTACGCCGGCTGCCGCTGTTACTTCTCATCTCAGCTGATGAGCCTACCCGTTTTTTAACCTTTACATCATCGGTACCAGCGTCCAGAGATGGGCTTCTCTTCCTTGATCTAATCTCGGCAGATTCCCGATTTTGTAGTAGTGTCTGTTTCAATAAACTTGTTTCGTTATTAATTCCCGGTATTGCCTTTAGATCCACCTTTCTGACGGTTTCCGAGCCTTTCGTAAACTCGGATTTCTTTCCAATTTCAGATTTCTTGCCAGCTTCTGGATTTGGATTCTGATTAGCGTTTTCTGAAGACCCTCTACTTATGTGGCACACAGAATGCCTTTCCAACTCTCCTTCTGTTTTAAACACCTTAAGACACTGCATACACGTATGCAGAATTCCAGAGTTGCTTACCGATGTCTTTCTGGTCACATTCTGAGTAGACTTCAAGTTGCCTGCAGATTTCTGGAAGTTATCTTCAGTGGTTGGACTTGACCTTTTGCTGCTCTGTTTCAGAGAGTCGGTACTGTTAACGACAGCCGCATCGCTGTAATTTACATCAACAATTTCTCCTTCCTCCAAGCCATGCTTCGTTCTCTTATGTTCTCCGAGATTATAACATGTAGAAAAGACTCTTGCGCATATGGGGCAAGTTACCAGAGGATTTCCACGATGACACACACTGACATGTCCCCAACGATGTTTAGCAGTTGAATATGACTTATTACATAGATCGCAGCGGTAAGGACGATAGTAACCACTCTTCCAGTTAAGGTCCATCAGGTTTTCTGCGGGACTGCTCGTTTGACGACGTGGGCGTTTGGAATGGGTCTCTTCCACAGTTTCCTTCATGTGGATTTTATTATGAAGTGCAAGATGTCCTTTACTAGAAAATGCCTTATTACAAATACTGCAAGTATGAAGGGTTTCATGTTCAGGTAGTTCATGGTCCCCCGCTCCCACACAGTACCTGCAACATGGGAATATTAAACAATTAAAGCAGAGTCAGTTGAATTGTTTTCTCTACAAGCACAACATATTTTTTTCAGGTGAACCCAATCCATTTCGTTCACATCAATAATTTTATTTAAATTCTGATGTTATACTAGGATATTAATCTTAATATAATTAGACATTATAAATCTAATAGAATACAACCATTTGTCACCTTGCGGTATGGGACCAAGTCATACATAAACCTTACTTTTGGACAGAACTTTAAAACTTGCATCGCAGTGGACCACCGACTTGCATGGCTATCTCAGTATCAAACACATAAACGTATTATGATGTGATCGAAACCTTAACAAGCTGACCACTCAGAAACGTGACCACGTGAATATCAGAAACTTTTAAAAACATGCAAATTTACAAGGTCTTTTCAAAACAAAGATCCAGTTTTAACTGCGTGTATTCAGCAGAATATACGACAAACACCAGTACTTGGTGCCACCGAACACAGCAGAATTGGGAGTACAGATCAAGTCAAAATACACAACATCTTTGAGAAAAAATGGTCCATCTAATTAATTTGTTTATTGAAGACCTGCCTGGAGGTTTGCACACTCATATTTTGTGTGAAACAGTTCAGCGTGAGATGTTTTGAACAGCAGACAGGATTACTCCAAGATACACTAAACAAAAAGTATAAAACCAACAAGACTTCCATAATTACCTATCAGAATGAAGAGCACCCTTTCTTCTGCCATTAGTATTGTCTGCCACCTCAATATCCTGAAGACAAAAATAGGGAAATTCTTATTAAGAAACAGGAATAGCAGAAACGCACGGTCAGAAAAATTAATAGATGTAACAGAACAAATAATATGACAGTCTATTTGAAATTACAAACTACAGACATAAAAGTGTAGGCGTAACAGCAGACTTATGTATGCGGTGTCTCGAAGAAGGGACACGTTGCATATATGAAATAGGATCACATGAAAATATAAAGACCATGGAGGGGAAATCTGGAATAAATAAGGAGAAATTATACTCAAATCCAGGGAGCTGATATTTAAAAATATTACATGAAACAACAAACACAACTGATATAAAAGAAATGAACAGGTATCAATCAATAATAACAAATAAATAGACACACAAATTTTTAATGCAGTCAACTTTCCAACAAAGCTGGGGTACAAATACCAGCATGGAAGATGAAAACAAGTAGGATATAACGCATGGGTAACTGTACCTCCCCACTTCATGGTACCTGCACCTTGTCGTGGTGGTGGGGCTCGAGTACCTCAGTGACCCCAAGAGCTACTGGTAGGGCCTCCCTAGCCAGATTGGTCGAGGGGGAGAGGTCAGACTAAGACAGGTACCCTGGTCAACCAGGTTGGGGGTTGGTCGCAAGGCTAACAACCTTACACCGTAAAAAGGAAGATGTTTTGAAACCTCAATCAAAGCCTCGGACAGACGGGCCTAACAGAGGACCGAATGGAAGAGGAGAATTGAGGAGGCCATGGACAGAATACGGACCAGAGAACCATAGAAGAAGAAGAACTGTACCGCAGAAGGATCCTGGTCTGTATCTTCATCACACTCCACACCCACTTCATCTTCGCCATCAGACGGTGGGTGGAAATCCGATTGCTCACTAGTAGGGCTAGTTGCACCTTTATACATCCGTTCTGATTCAGTATTCTGTCCTTTCTCGGGGCTTACCGCTGGAACAGGAAACTGAAAAACCGGAATCAGCAAATGGTGAACTTAACCTCATTACTGCCCAATCCAGACAATGTAAAATTTCTTACAGGTAAAACTGTGCAATATGTACATACATTATACAGCATGTAGAACATTTATTTTCATCACCTGTTTATTATATATTTATAAAATCATTTATTTATCAACACTACATGAAAAAAGATAACATAAAATAAACAGTGCATGCACGTCACCTCTTCTACATCTGGCTCTCGCTCGGACACAAATGACGATGAAATGTACGTTAAAACTGTCCATTACAAACAGTAATACAAAATTTTGATTTACCTGAAGTTCGAGACGAGGCATGGGCATGTCTTTCTCACACGTTTCACCTTCATCCTTAATTTGACGCAACTGGCTACAAAGCCTCTCAAACCGTTCTTTCAGCTCTGCACCCTATTCAAATATTAAACAAAATTAAATACATCAATAACTCCGAGATCCAGTGTTAAGCCAAATGAAGAATGAAAATCAGAAGCAAGAATTTAAACAACCGGATAATTAAAATGAAATGTATAAAAAAAGTGATTCAGCATTTCACAACATTAACTTTTAAAGTATTTAATTTCTTTTGCACTTCAACATGGAAACTTTTCCTTTTGTAAATATCCATCCAATCTTATCATACAATGACCCAAACCTCAAAATATTTGTGTTCAATTAAATGTCTATTCCCATTACGAAAGAAAACAGGAGAAATTGTTTTCCATTGTTTCCTCATAATAGGTTTATACCATTTCAGAGTTCTCTTCTGACTGCCCAACACAGCTCTCCAAAAGAGCAACCGCATTGACGCTCCTCTTCCGGAAGTCATAGAAGTTTTCAAGATTGTACATGCATCGATAGCATAATGACTTCGGCAGCTTATCACTCTCTGATACCTGTAAAATATAGCAGAGGATACATTTTTAAATGTATGCATAGCAATTATAGCTATAAAAACACTCTACGCAGTAAAACGCAAAGATACTCTTTCTTCAAACGTCCTGCACAGAAATAACAAAACATGAATCTGAGATTCATATATAGTGTTACCAATGAAACATAAGAATCTTTGTCTGTATTACCTGAAGTTTCAATTTAGTTAAGTTATGACTGCACATTTATTTCAGCTAATACTTGGGTATGAAAATATGTGAAACTGGGCCCAAATTATTCAAGTCCTCTAAAGGAAATTCCTCTAGAAGTTTTAAAACAAAAAATTCTTCTCCTGTACCAGAAATCTCTTTGCATTTGTATCATGATACATATATTAAATACTGAAGTAATGCCTTCTAATATATTGTTCGGTATTTAATTAAATACAGTGACATGAACTGTAAAATAATCTTTAACCTTCTGTAATGAAAAATATTCAGCAATGTCTACAACTGCCAATGACTACTAAAAGCAACAAAGAAATTATGGTACATGTCTTGCCATTAACACTGACCTATACTAAACAGCCAAATATGATAGCCTATTCTCTCACATGAGTATAATGTCTTAAAGTTTCAATGTTTTCACCTTGTCCAGATGTTATGATATATAATTGTCTGAGGATGCAAATAATTTTCATAAGCCCAGACGAACCCAATATGTACACTCAGATGCAGTAAAATTTTACTGAATACCAGTGCAGGGAAAAAAAATTTTAGTCTGGGGCTAATCAAAACGAAAGACATCGTAAACGATATCGTTAATAACAGTCTTAACGCGTGGCTCCAAAAATGTTTACATAATGCACACAATATTAATTTATTTCGTCACATTATACAGCTGGCATACGTTAAAAAATAAATTGTCAATTTATATCCTACACAAGTAGTTCCCGTACAAATATGCTCTAGTTCACGAACTTACTGGGTACTAGATTATATAGTACCTGGAAAGGGAGGCATGTCTGTATCTTGTCAACCAGATTTCTTTCTCTCCCTTCCTCGCCAAATATTTCCATTTTGATGGCATCATAACATGCACATAGCCTGCAGAGCTCCATGTAATTATCTGGTCGGCATGACATGGTGGACCTCTGTAAGACAACGTCTACATTCCAAATATTATATCATGCGATACAAGAGAGCATAAGGTGGTCATTTCCGTTGTTAGAAGCAATATAACCACCTTGATTACGAATAGATCCAGTACAAATTTTATAGAAGTCTCATATTACCACGCATATATTTTCATGTAACACTTCGCATCATCGTATCCTTTCACAATACGTACGTGTAGGTATGGTTACAAACAACTAGTGAAACCGAATGAAAAAAAGATATACGCTTCCAGCTCCCACAGCCAGTCCTTATCCACTATTGTCTATTGCCGCCATCTTGTACACATGCTATCTTTCTGCACCATTAAACAAAAAAATGTAGGCTAGGATGAGCCCGTGGGTTTTGTGTTGGTACGAATTTTCAACGAGCTAGGGAGTGTGATAGGGATTTTTAGTCCACGTAAACTGCAATAAACAGATCAAAATATCTCCTACATTTGGAATGTCAACTTTCAACACTTTCGACTAATTGTTCTCGATCATGAACTCGATGCATCCATCATAATTCTACGTACTACTCGATCTCCGTAACATCATATCGTTTGTTACTAATCGATTGTAAAAGAGC